GGGGGAGGGGGAATGCATCACCACTAGTCTTAAAGTTGCTATTTCATAATAGCAGACTCAAATGATATATATAATCACACTTATAACAATGTGAGAAAATGTTATGAAGGCAGTTTTACCTACCTGTTGAGTATGCTAGTGGGTACTGGCAGAGTGATATTTCCTAGGTCGATATGATAGCTAAATGATCTCCTTAAAAGATGTCTTTAAGCTTTTCGTTGACCTCTTTCAGAATTTTGGAGAAGACTGTTCTGTCACTTTCAATTCTAACAAAACTTTGTGTAGTTTTCTGGTACTTTTACTATAATAAATTACATTTGAATGCAAGATTTATTTGTGCCGTATTACAGATAATTTGTTGTGAAGTTGAGTACCATCTTTGGCGTTGCTTTTAGATGGTAGACTAATATACTGTAACACTATATACAGTTAACACAATACTAGTAGAACAGTTCTTGCAAATGTGTGTTTAATATGTTTTGAACCCTAAAGAGCCAAGTTGCCTTATAGCTGCTAATTACTGCAAAATCACTTGAGATTTTTGCTAATTTGCGGTGCATATACATACATGCTATATGAACAATTCCTGCACAGAAACTGTACAGCTGTATTTATCTGTAAAGTTCAGGATTTTCAAATACATGAGGCAGATTATGTAATAGGGATTAATGAAAATCTGTTTAAAAGCAGATGATTGAGATAAATGTACAGTCTCAAAGAATATTTTTTTTTATTTCAAGTATTGGAAGTCTTGTACATTTGGCTTTTAAAATATTGTAAATTGTTTGTTTATTCTTGTAAAGTTCAGATAGGACAGCTCTAAGTATAGATTGTTTTGCGTAGATGCGTTTAGCCCAGCACCTGCTGGTAACCAAGGCCCTCCTCCAATGATGGGTATGAATATGAACAACAGAGGAACTTTACCTGGCCCTGCAATGGGTCCTGGTCCTTCCATGGGACCAGAAGGAGCTGCAAATATGGGAACACCAATGATGCCAGATAATGGAACAGTGGTAACGTATCACAAATTTAATTACTTTGAATAGCTGTCATGTCTCATGGCCCATTTTTGTTACCAAAGGTATTTTCACACTAAGAACATCTTACATGTTTTGAATCTGTTAAAAGTATTTGATAAAACTTGTTCAAGCAAATAATTTAAAACACAGAAGGGAAGTCTTTATTTGGTATTACCACAAAAATCCTACTTCCCTTAGGAATGAGGTGAGTTCTTTGACCAGTAACCAGACTTTAAATGGAGGTTAGTATGTACAGCACTTGTGGCAAAACTTGACATGTATGACCTGTGATGAAAAACTCATTGATAGAAGGAAGTCACTTCTGTGAAATGAAGAAGGAACAATATAGCATAGTAATCTATAAATTTATGCATTTGCTGCTTTTCCTTTTGTGAAACTAAATTTTTTGTATTAGATTGTTGGGGTTTTTGATGAACAGTTAAATGTTGGAAGCTGTGTAGTGTGAAGATATCTTTGTGTAAACTATTTAATTTTTTAAAGCCACTTTAGTGTTTGTTGTATTTCCTTTCTAACAGTGTTGAAAGCATGAGATTATGACAGTAATTATGCCACCTTAGAAAATAAGTATGCCAACAGCTGTTAGGGATAACTGTTATATCAACACAGGGAAAATAATTGCCCAGTTGCCAAGGTTGTAGGTAATGGTATACATCTGTATTTTTTTATCAAGAGCAGATAAGGCCATTGAGATGTAGCTAAAACACTTGCCATTTTAGCTCTGTTGTCGTAGACAGTCACTTTTCCTAGCTGTAATGTCTTATGTAGATAAACAACTATATAATTTTTAATCAGATTTTTACATATTTTTCAGTATTATACTGTAAATAGGTATTTGGGATGTTCTGGTGGTGGTGTGATATAAAGGAGTATATACTGTAAACAGTAATTCCATTATGGTTTTATTGGAACACACCAGCATTTTATAGCTTTATTTTTTTATGTATGCCTTCTCAACAGTATCTGTTTGCGATTGAGCAATCTGTATAATGAAGTTTCGACAATATCCTTTGTTCCTTAGAGGAAAATGAGATTTTGAGGACAAAATACATAATGAGCTTGGTCTTTGCCAGTTAAAGGACAGGATCTCACTCCACATCGTAGGATCCAGCTCATTTTATCAGTTGTATCATTTCTCTCAAAGTGTAGGGATGCTTTTCACAAAATACTGTTTTCAGAGGTGCTTTTGCTGGAGACCAGTGTGTTACTGGTCACCTCTGGAACATTCTCTTGTGATTATATGGACTGAAAAAAGAGGTGTAAGGAAAATAACATGCTATTGTAAATCATGGTATCTATCTCAAACTGTTGTTTTTCTACAAAAAGTCATTCCAGGTATGGAAATGTAGGGAATATACTGATGCTTAAAAGTGCATATTTTAATATTTTTTTTTACTTCCAGTTTCTTCATGCCTACTGCAGGACAAATTAGATGTTTTGTTTTGTTTTGTTTTCATTTTGGACTTTCAAGGTTTTTAATCTGGGGGACAGGCCCCTACAGAAAGGCATAGCCTTATTGTATTTTTGCTGCTGTTGGAACAACACTTTAAAAATCCCTTGAGGGTTCTCTGCTTAAACACTGTAAGAGTTAATTTCAGTTTCCATGGAGAGAAATGGAGAATATGCTTCATAGAACAGAAATGCAGTTTTCATTTTTTAAATTGGATGTTTTTGTAAAGTCTTTTAGGGGAAAGTTGGAGCAATCTTCTTTCTGCTCAGCTGCAGTCTTTTGAAACATAGATTATCTTTGAACATAACATTTTAAAAATATCTTTCCCCCCGACCCACTTTAATGTAGGTAGTTATTTACTGAAGTTTTCTTGTTAGCTGGAGAAGAAGGGGGTCCTTGTTGGGAAGAGGACTTGACTTTTTGTCCAAAACTCAAATGATGAAAATTGTCAGGAGTATGTTATAAAGCTATTTGTTGAAATTCATATCCATTACTAACAGGTTGTCATGAGTTAAAGATAATTTTCTAACAATTTTTAACCAGTGTTGTAGATTTTAAGGTACTTGGGGCAGTAGTAGATCTTTATGCAGGTGTTAAAAGTAACTTTTTTCTTATTCAACGTCAAATTTTCAACAATGCGCATATGTACAACCATGATCAAAGTGGCATAAATTTGTATATGTATAGATATAATGCTGTTTTTAAATAATATATATCTATGAATTAGCCGACTTCAGAACTGTTGAGCTCTACTACTATTACTGGAGTTAGACTTTCAGAAGAATTCTTCTCTGATTCAGGCATATAAATAAAGTGCTAGTCTTGAATGTTCTTGTTGAACTCTGAATACCTGGGCAATTAATGCAGATCTCTGTACAGAAGGAATTTCTTCTGAAAGCGTAACTGTCCTCATCAGGTGAATTATGAGTTATTTCCATATATTACCATGCTTTTACTGATTTATGCTATGTTAATGTTTAAATTTCATCATGTGGGGTTCTATTTTTAAACACTTGCATAAATACTGAACTATAAGTGCTCAGGTGCATGTTTTCTCTTTTAGGTCTTAATTGCTATAGCCAAATAAATGCGTCTAAGCACATACACCTTTATTAATATTAGGCACAGAACTAAGGAAAATAAATGTGGAACATTAACTGGATTTTCATATTGAGTTTTTTTTAAACTAAGGATAGTCCAGTTATGCATTTTATCTCTGCTTGTGTTAGTTTATTTGGACTGGGTTTTGAGTCTAACTAAAGATTCCTGAAGTGCCATACAAAAGGCGGATTCCAGGTGGAATGGACCCACTTTATCCACAGATGTTATGTGGGTATATGAGTCTTCAGGTTATATTGTTATTAAAGGAATGAACCTGCAGTCTCTAGAAATACAAAAGCTGGTGGTTTTTCTTTTTGCTATTACAACAGTATTTCTGTGTCTAATTTATTTAAGGGAGAAGCATTATAGTTGGTATGTAAGGCAGAATAGGGCTCGGGTATAAAATTCTTTTCTGTCTCTTCTGTTACATAGAGAATGTATATTGCTTCAGATGTGCTTGAAAGGATGAAGCTACATTCAGCACCAGAGTTGTTCTTAATGCTTAAATTTTTAATTTTTAATTTACTTTACAAAATTGGAACATAACATTAGCACTCTTTAATTTCCAGCTCTTTTTCCATAGTAACTAATTAAATTGCTCCTTTCTTCCCTCTATGTGTGATCCTGATTCTGCTGGACTATCTGCTGAACTTCATGACAACGTCACTTGTGGTTTTTTTGTTGTAACTCACATTTGGTCTGTTCCAAATGGACTTGTATTAGCATAATGAGAGATTCCCTCAAGGAGGTCCATCACAGATGGGTTCGCCTCTGGTTAGTAGAACGGGCTCTGAAACTCCTCAGCCGCCAATGAGTGGTGTAGGTGCCGTGAGTGGTGGACCTGGTGGCTTTGGTAGAGGAAACCCAGGGGGCAACTTTGAAGGACCTAACAAGCGTCGCAGATACTAAAACTTGTTTCATTCCTTACTGTTTAGAAATTCCAGTAAAAATATACGGTGATATGCCTTTATAATTTTAGCTGTTATCTGGAAACGGTTTTATTGTTATTGTAGTCTTTAAAACAGTTTCTTTTGTAAAACCTTTTTTGTATTCAGTCATAGGCTTTGTAGTATAGAGCAGAAATGATGCAGATCATTATGTAAGGCGATGTGTTTGTGACTCTAGAAAAATACAATGTGTGACTATGTTGTAAAATGTGCAGTTATCTGATTACAATAAAATACAAAAATCACTTGAAAGGATTTTGGGTATGTTATTACTCATACTGGATGAGAATCATTTTATGCTTAATTATAAATGGCATAATTTTCATTCTTATGTAGTTTCTACTATGTGTCAAGAAAGTTCCATTCTTAATACTGAATCTGTTTATCTAAACTGCATGTTGCAGTACATGCTGTGAACAGTTTATATCCCAACTGCTTTTGTTTGTTTCCATGTATCAGATTTTATACAAAGTGTTCTCAAGGATGCTGTGTCCTTGTATCTCAGTCTCCCTTTGTAAACTCAGTCACAATAGGCTTATCAACAGTGTGTCCATTACTCAAATTATTGGAAAATTTAATATGGGTGGAAAAACAAAATCTTTGGAAAAGCAATCTGTACGTATGCTTTATTCATAACAGTATGAATGAATTTACCTAAGCCATACATCTACAGAAGAAAAATTGTTGTGACATCTGTGCGTTGTACTGATTGTTAAAGTATCTTGCCATTGCAAGGAAGGAGAGATCTGTGCAAGCTGGTTTAAAGCCTTCCATCATTATAAGTATACATTTCCCCCAGTGGTTGGTTTTAATAGGAACAAGTCTGTTATCAATGATTAAGTTTTTAATTAGGAAGCAATACATGTTTTCCAGTTAAAATAATTGTTCACTTATAGTAGAGTAATACGCATTTAGAAGAATTGCACATGAGCATTCTTGATAAGTGTTTTACAGAATGATGAATTTGAAAAATACCCATTTCCAGCACAGCTCAGGCTAGATATACTGGTTGAATCTTAAGAGGAAAACTGATGATAAAGCTATTAGGAAGCTTATTATGATTCAGATTTTGTCAGTCATGGAAGATGATGGAAAAGACCTATTGGTTCTATTCCTGTCATGGCAAGAAAGTAGGGATAATTTTGGTTACTGCTGTTTTTTTTTTTTCCTGTGCAGAGTGGTTGTAAAATATGAGTGTTCTGTTTTTATCAGTTCGCTCACATTTTCAGAAATAGACATTTCTAATATTTATCTGCATGAATAGTGATACTAAATTGATTGAAAACTGATTTAAGGTAACATAGTGCCCTAATTATATCAGAATGGTATGTACGTAGCTCAAAGCATGGGATTCAAGCAGCAGAGAGAGCATATATGTGTTACTTCTTAATATAGCAGTGATGGTCTTGGTGAATTGAACTGTGAGCAAATGGGTAACAGGAAAACTGCAGCATTGCTGTCATTTTGAAAGTACACTCATATTTAAATTGCCGGTGTTATATGGCTTGAAGTAGAGATTGTTTTCATACAGTTCAGGAGTTATCACATCTGTAGGTCCTCAATTGTGACATCTGTAGCTACTGAGCATTTTCCTCTAGACTGTCTTTAATGTTGCCATTTTTTGCTCAATTTGAGATACATGCCACACTTTATAGTTCGAAATGCAATAGCGAAATACATTTAAAGTCTGAAGTACTCTTTCCTATACTTGATATGTGTATTACGTTACAGCACTCATTCTTCCGAAAAAAACTGCTATTAGTTTTATTTAGCACACTATTCCTAAAACTCAACATCTGGGAAAATTGCTGGTTTTTCACTAGGTGTAAACTAATGTTTGCATATAGCAACTGCTTAAGCTCTCTGCTTTGGTGTACTGCATTCAGTTGAAAATGCAGCTTGCATCAGTGTCTAGTAAAGTGCCTAAATAATAGATTACTTTTGTCTCATCTTTTCTGCCCTTGTATGTGGCATTTTTTATGGGGATTGAGAAAGTACTGGTGTGAGTTGGTAATTCTGACCTGTGAAGCTGTAAGGGAAATGGGTTTTAAATGTAACTTGAACTGGATTCAAGAGGTCTGTTCAGTTTTTCAAAGGAAAAGGCTGTGTCCTTCAGGCCTTTTTGACTAACTCCTGTATATTTGTTTAGATACATACACCCTCATACTTGTAGTCTCCAAGTATGTTTCAGGAGTACATTAAACATACCAAATCTGCGAAAAGTCATTCATTCTTTCCTTGCCATCCTCATGCTATTTTAAGTGCACAGTTGTTGCGCTGCATTTTTGCTAGCAAGTGGAGCCATGTGTGTATTTGAAAGTTACTGTAGATTTTAATTAATATTAGTGATTTTCATTCCATGGTTGTGAGCTACCCTTCCTGTAAAACTTTGAACTGGATGGCATGGTAGCAGTGGATTTGTCTGATGTTCTTATTGCAGAAAATAATGTGATCTCTTTTTAAATATCCATGAACCAAGCCTGTAAGTCCTAAAAAAAAAAAAAATAATTCTGGAAGGTTGAACTTGGGCACACTTTAAAGATTTAATGAACAATTCTTTCTGTAACTGATCACAGGCTGCCAGATTCTTCTCTTAATAAAAGCTTTCTTAGGGCTGCCTGGCCATGTTGATTGTATACAGCTCAATGGTAAAGCCAGTGATTTTCGTTTTGCCATATGTGGTAGTAACTGACTCTAGCTGTATGGTAAACACATAATTTTGTTAGAAAAGGAGTGGTCCCAATTTGGTTCCTAAAAATAGTATGTAGATGCAGCCAAGCAGCTTTTTTGCTTGAAGGTACTGCTTATGTGCTGGAAGTGATTAATTTTTCTTGTTCCTCATCTGGCTGATCAGTTTATCATTGTTTCTGTGTACCCATGTATGTAAGTTTTTAACTTTTTCGTCTGTTTGGCTAGAAGGTACAGTGAGGTCCTGACTCTTCTGCTTTGTGCTGTGGTAAAACAAATAAGCTTGGGAAGGATATGAAATTGACAACTACAGTGCGCTTACTTTGGTTGTACTTACTGGGTATTTATCACTCAGTCATTTGAAGGGGAGCTATTTGTCACTTAGAAATCATTTGGGTTGTAAGTTAATTTCTTTGTAGTTCTGTCCAGTGTTGTCTTTAGTTAAAGCACATTGATGTCATGGGAAGCTTGGTAGCGATTCAAATACACTTAACTGTATTTATTTCCGAAGAAAAATACTTACAAATTACTATGGATTACCTAGAAACAAAATTATTGACTTTAAATTGTTTTATTTATTGTCCATATCTGTTCTATGCAATTGGACATAAGATAAACTGGAGACTCTTATTAGAACAAAAGGTTAACATCAATGGCAAAAAGACAATATTAACTAAATATTATGTTAATTTTAACTGTGATCTAATAGGATTTAATAGTATGCATTCTTTGAGGAGCATTCTGATCTAAAGTATACTGTCATATTTTAAAATGTTAGACCAAACTCTTTTTTCCCCTTTCCACTTTTGATTTGAGATTTTTTTAACTTGAAAAATAGATTAATCTGTAACTACAAATTCTTTTAAATGGTACTAACTACAAATGCATTGACTTCTATGAATTACTTATTGTTAAATGGTCACAATCTGCATTGAGATGACTTTGCTCAAAAATGCTGAAATAAGTGACCTAAAGGAAGATTCTCAAGTGAAGAACAGAATCCCTTAGGCCTTTTGAAGGGAGAATGTGCTTTGAGATGAGAAGTTCAGCAAATGAGGGGTTTACTCTGATAGCATGAAGCTCATTTTACTTAAGCATGTTGTGGAAACTAATGTTTTTGTATACTTCTTAATATATAATTTTTTTATATAACAAGTTGGATCATAATTCTTCCCTTCTCAGGGAAGACAAGTCAAAACAAATGGTAATTGAACAACTAAAAGGGCAGGGAAGGCTGGGTAGCAAGTGATGGGGTCAGTTTACGTTAGAGTGCAAACGTGAATGGATTCTCAGTCCCATTCCTGAGACTTGAGGTGGTGTATATCCATAGGTGGCTTTACAGAGTCTGCATCCAGCATCTCTTGTTAGCTTGTGCTTGGAACTGAGACTGGGGAACTTGAGAGAGCACATATTTCAAATGCAATTTGTCTTCTCAGGAGTCCTGAATTTATTAATTTGGGCACTGTGCTGTCATTAAGATGCAGAACCATTATGGGATTTGGTGCTTTCCTTGGGCTATTAGCTCACTTCTAGCATGACCGAATCTCAGTCCAGACTTCCCTGATTCTTCAGTAGTGAGGAGGGAGTGAGTGTGGCCTATGGAAAATAAAGAGGTTGGACATTGCTCCTTTAGATTATTGCCTGTTCAGTGCTAGTTTAGTGGCAAATGTTGGACTGCATTATCCCAAAAGCATTTGTTTTCTTAAAAATCTATTCAATTAAATGTGAGAACTTAATAAAATTTGCAATACTTAATGTCACATATTTTTTCCCGTTGGATTGGCTTTTTGTTGCCTTTTGGGATATACTGTGAGATACACTTAGTCTCAGTAGGTGGTCTCACCAATTTGGGGTTTTGTTGTTATGAAGAAATCTGTTTTGTTAATAGTTTTGGGGTTTTCCCTTTTAAATATTTAAAAAATCATAGCTGTAGGCATTTCAGGTTTGTTTTCACAGTAATACATGAAATACTGAAGTTTATCAAAATAAGGTTATCTAAAATATAAGTTGTAGAATAGATAAACAACGCTAGATTTTCCTTAAAACAATGCTTTTCATGACTAAATGCATAGAAACAAGCCCTCAATGTATTCATTTTCAGTGGGATATGGAGGTGTTCAAGAAACGTCTAGATGCGGTGCTCAGGGACATGATTTAGTGGGTTACGTGGTGTTGGGTTGGACTTGATGATCCTTGAGGTCTTTTTCAACCTTAATGATTCTGTGATTCTAATAGGTCTTTTCCATCTTGAACTTCCTTAAGCTACTATGAAAATTAATATAATTGAAATTTGGAGGTAATTGTATTAATTACTTCAGCCTGACTTCTAAAAGCAGTAAGAGACAGGTTTCTTCAGAAGAACAGTTTAGAACAGCAACCATTTTTTCCCTAACTATTCTGAAAAGTTATAAGTTCAGAGATAAGCATAGCATACTTATAGGTAAAACCATTTTTAAAAAATGTTCTCATATGATGATTATTTTATATCCAAATCACATTAAAATCTTTGTAAATGTGGGTGAAAACTTACTGATTTTTATGCAGTTCCTCAAATAGAGGACAAAATA